AATTCCTTCGCGAATCCAACCTATTCTTTGTTAGGTAAGCGATTTACGAGATTAGTTAATCAGCATAATCGTGTTGATTAAAATTGGCGTGCCGAGGTATTAACTAGACGCTGTCGAAATGATTTTCGGTCGTAATGAGTTAATCACCATTATCGGGACTGTGATTTCTTGGGTGACAATTTTAGGTTGTGCTAATTTTCACTTCTTGGCTTGTTGTGCCTGGATTGCCCAAATGAACCAATTACTTTATTTTATGTGGTTGTTTGCATTTTCGATTTCGGTTGCTTTTGTATGATTACCATTACTTCTGGATTTGTAGTACAGTACTCATTTCTAGCTCCAGAAAATTAGGAGTACAACACAACACAAAACAGGAATAAAGTTGACCACTCCATACTGGAAAAAATTAAAACATGTTATAATACGGCTTCTGGGTTCCTAGTTGGAAACTAAACCTGACCTCGTATTATCCGGTAAGACCTTGCAGTGGTTAATAAAGTTTAATTTAAAAAAGCCATCTGTCTAGTTTATTGGTGCTAAAGGAGACAGCAGCACATTGCCGGTCTAAGCTTTATTTCAATTAAGAAGGTACAATTAGAAGGTTTTCTTCGGGATACTTTCTCGCGGTGCGGAGTGGCAGCCATATTGATGGGCTCTGGCTATTACACTGTTCACTGTAAACCCGGTTTTCTTTTCGTTCACACGTTTATTGAAAATGTTGTGAGTTCGTTGCTAAGTAACTGCACTTATTAATCAATTCCAAGGCTAATCTTTAATTTAAATGGATAACCATTATAAAGAGGTTCTTCATTTTCCCAGAAACTTGGATTGTTAAACTTTAGAAACCTAAAATCTTAATCATTCTTTCTCTTACCTGATGCTCTCTCTTTCTTAATCAGCCTATTTAGTATAAGTGCTCACTGCAATGTTTGAACATTAATCACCGCGCTTGCTCAAGGTTGATTGGCGATTTCAAACTTATAATTGGAAATTGTAAGTCGAGTTTTCCTCACGATGTTTTCCTTCATCGTATGTCGGTGGTGTTTAAATAATCATATAACTAGAAAAGCCACATTGGTACTTGCCTCATGCATGAGAAGCTGGCGCCCTTAAGTCCGCGCTGCTACGACTTCCTTCCTCTTTCATCCTTTTGTTGATGTTATCATTGAGTGTTTGAAGAGTAAATGATCGATCGATCGATCTTTAAAACACAAGTTTGCACTCCGGAGGTGTGTTTACAAGTTGAGAAAAATATCAGGAGAAACCTTTTAAAGATAGGTATGCATAATATTATTTGCGGAATGCCATTATTAATGGCGAAGACCTTCTCACAATATAGTATGCTGTTGACATATTGCATTGGATCGCATGTTTGAAGGTTCTTCGACTAATTTTGCCGAGTCATTCTCGGGGTCAGAAGTCAAGATGCTCTCGATGATCAATTCCTACACGTGCTTACATAATCGAATTGGAGATATATGTAAATAGTGGCGTTTGTTTGATTTTTGATTGAAATGAGTTTTCTAAATATAGGTTACTGTCTGATTGTAGTTGATTAGTAAAATGAATGTATAGATTTTAAGTTACAATGTTTTTACAAGTCACTCTATAAATAAAGTCTATGTATCAGTATGTTTGTTTCCTAAATATATAGGTAATTTTGACCTTTTTGCATAAACATATTTTACATATTTTTTAAATAAACTTTTATCAATCCAAGGTATGGGAGAGCCATGGTTCGGTACGAACGGGTGGGCTCGACCGGAGTGATACCGCGGCCTCACAGAAAACCGGCTTGAAACAACCACAGCGTTGTGTTTCACCGTGTGAGTGAGGTTACCGGAGGCCCAATCCTTCCCCTCTCCCAATCACTCCGCAATCCCTAAATCTCCAAATCCCTAATCCCTAGGTCGGTAACGCAATTGTAACTCCACCGTTGCGGGTGTACATGGGCGGCGCTGATTGCTTGCATCAGGTAATCTGTCGGTTCGTTTGCCGATCTATAATTATAGACATAAAAAAAATCCAGCTAAATAGTTGCCGGGATCAAAATAGTTTTGAGACTTTTCTATGGATTTGAAATAATGTCATTTGTATTTTTTTCAGCTCAATGGCTTGAAGATACCTGTTTTAAAATGCAATATTTACTTCATATACGTGCATTACGTTGCGTGTTAAATAAAAACAATAGGTAACGAAATGTAATAACAATATTTTTATGTAGTTGTTTTGGAGCCCTTTCGTAGCAAACCTACTGACAATCCTATTGCAATTTGTCATACAGTATAAAGTTTTAATCCAAACTAATATTATAAATAAAAAGAAAGTAATCTGTCTGTCTGTATATCTTTTCTTCACGTCCTAACTACTTCTGATTCCGATTTCTGGGTCACTGTACCACGGGAACGGAGTCGCGGGAAAAAGCTAGTATTTTATAATTGGAAAAAGTGTTGTATCACCTTCATTTCAATTTAAATAACTTGTTCATAGTGCATAAACTCCTAATCGATTTTGACTTAGCGTTTCAATAAACGCTGTCATGATTTCCCTGTAGGGGGATTATTCAGTGTCGGAGTAATGATGGTCCTAGATGCTATTATCTGAAGGTAACAATGGGTGATGAATAGCGTCTCGTCTGTTATTGACATCGTCCATCTTGCATAGAGTATATTACGTATAATATATGCTTATCACAGCCTCACCCTTCCTCTGTAGTTACATAAACTTATTAAGCTAAAATGTTCACCTGAACAATGTTATTGAACTAAAATCAATCCTCCAGCAAAATTAAACCATATTAAATTACGCAGATAATTGAATTTTAATTAGCACTGCGTTTTTGGCTCCATAAATTTTGGGCCTTTAATCACGATTTTATTTAATAAATCATTGTATTTTGACGTATTTTGTCGACATTAATTTCCCGCGTATGTATTGTTTTGTTTCATAATGAAATTGTTTACTACGCATTGCAAATGGCGTCTTGTCCATTAAGCAATTAATTTTGTGGGAATTTTTGCATATCCGTTGTTTGGTACTTATGTATTTATTTGTACGATTTTTCCCCACATAACTTTTTAGGTGAGATAAGTAACTCGACTAGTTTCAAGCCACGATACGGGCTTACACTTTAAGCCTTGTCTAAAGAGAAGCTGTTTATAAATCCTTTAATAAATAAATCCACAACATCCGCAGCAATCATAATAAATTATTTAGTTTGTCGTAAGACAGTTCATCATCATCACCATCATCATCATCATCAGCCTTTTGTCGTCCACTGCTGAACATAGGCCACCCCAATTGCACGCCACTGAGCTCGATGTTCAGCTCTTCTGATCCAACCACTAAGACTGTTATAATACAATAATGAACCATGCAATTTTAAATAATTCTTTATGTTTTAACTATACTAATATCGTATTGATTATCCCGGTAAGACATATAGGTACTTAAGTATCTTTACAAGGAAGATCCGATCCTGTCCGTCCGGAAAATCCCTTATCCCCAACAGTCTGGCTACGCACTTGCAACTTCTTTAGTGTTGCGGGTGTCCATGGGCGGCGCCGTTTGCTTAAAATCAGGTCATCCGTCTGCTCGTTTGCCGTCGTATCACATAAAAACAATTAAACTGTGAAAATAGCAGTTTTAAGCTTCCTCTTCTGTAGGTAAGCTTCGCTGACTTTGCAAAATATAAAGGAAGATCGGGGAAATGTGTGGAAATCTACGCTAGGATGTAAACCAATCTCATGTTTAAGACGGTGTTACCTCTTAAGTGCATACCTGTACCTATATCTATAGAAAAGCTTTAGTTTTCTATAAGCATTCTGAAATGTGCAATGGATAACATTTTATATTACTATGATAAGAATGTGAAATTTAATTTCAGTTTTCTTTACTTAGGTCACTTGTAATTATCGATCATCCGTTGTATGTTATTTTATATTTTACTAATGCTACATATGCATTTATTTTTTTATTTGGGACAAACAAATAGTAATATATTATATCTGCGCAAACAACATAAACAAAAATATTATATAAATATGAATCTCACATCTACATCATACACAATTCATATAACTAAACTAATTATCATTCTATGCAAGTAAGACAGTTCAAAAAAATAATAAGAACTCATTAAAGTTTGTTAATAGGTATAATATTTTAACATCCTAAAACACGTGATGATTTAAAATGGAGGCCAAATAACCCTCAAAGGGACAGCAACGCCTTTGTAAGACCTCTGCGTAAGGCGCGTAGCGTTCCGCGCTCCTCAAAGAGCCACCACTAGACTCCAATAGACCACTACAGATAGGGCCCATTAGTGCTGATATTCAGCTGGGGTTGAGCGTAGTAATGTCCCGCGGTCCCAGCTTGGAGCAAAAGAAAGAAATGGTTATTAGTTAAAAAGATTCAAACAAAAAAGATTATTCTAACTCCTCTGATGGTGTCTATGAGCGTTGCTGATCACTTACCAACAGTTTCGTCAGCTTGATTGTTTGTCTCCCATAACTAAGAGAAATGTCTAAACAGAAAAATGTAAAGCAATCATGAAACGATATTGAATGTTATATTATGAGTGTATTGACTAAATACAAATAATAATAACGACAAGTTTTATTAATCGAAAAGTTTCGTTCATCAAACAATAAAGAAAGTGTAAATAACATTTTAAATGAAAGCCTTACAATGTTGGAAATAATTGTCGACTCTTTATTATCAAAAAGATTTTCCCAAGCACAATGAGTATTTTTCGGTTATTTAAAAATGTATCACTTTCCTTAATCTGGAAGTACGACCAGACTCATGGCAACTTTGAAAAGCTCTATGTTGAATAATAATATATGTCCGTCTGTCTATGGGATTAAAAGACAACGTTTATGTGTTGTTGTTTCGCAGTGTGGGCGAGTTTAAATTAGACCTAACCTCATTCCCAAATTCTTAAAACATTAACCCCTTTTTTGTCATTGGAAAATTATCAAACGACTTCTCCCGCCCAGGGTTAAGGCGAAAGACAGTGTCAGACACTTACTAACGAAAAACTCCCCCGTTCCTTCTCCTGCTGACTCATTGCGCTTAACCCGGTTGAACATCAGCTCTATAGGGTCCCGTCAGTGGTGGTCTATTGGCCCATTGAAGCGCGCGCGGAAGGCTACGCGCCGCACGCTCGGGTCTGGTTCTGGTCGGGCAGCGAGCTACCCTCACTCGCCGTCCGAAAACCCGCGCAAAACATTAACCCTAACGTGCTGTCCTGCCAAGTGTGGTGCCAACTTTAACTTAAAGCCGGCAACGCACCTGGCAGGATCAGGTGATACGATTGTTCAAATGCTGTTTTATCCCATACAATATTTTTAAGCATGGTAGAAACTCAAAGGTCTTGATGTTTATAATGAAAAAAACACATGTTTGACATGGGAATTCTGATTCATTCAGTAGTATGTCGCTGTAGAGGACAAACTTCATCAATGTTCTGCAATCAAACAATGTTTGCGTATCCTAAATGAACTCCCGAGCTCAAATAACACGATGCAACGAACAGTACTTGAGTGATTCGTTGATAATATAAGGTAAGGATTGATCATTTCAGTAGTGTTTACAATTGACGTATATTTCATATATTTAGAACTACAATATATTTTTTTTGAAGTACTGTTTTGATACATGATATATCTGTTTTTAAGAAAGTTTGTAAAGATTTTTTTTTAAGTTTTTATTCCACACTTTGATTTCCGCCTATGTCGTGGGTGCGTTAGCAAATATACAACTCCACACACACACACACACACACACACACACACGCACATCACACCCAGGCCCGGAACAATAATTTGTGCAGTTGCCCAGCCACCGCGCCAACTGTTTTTACAATTAAAGTTTCCATCATTATGGCTACCTACTATTTAAACCTATCATAAGGTTTGATTTTGGAATATAAACTAATATTATAAAGCTGAAGAGTTTGTTTGTTTAAACGCGCTAATCTCCATAATTACTGGTTCGAATTAAACAATTCTTTATGTGTTTGTTAGTTAATTTATCGAGGAACATCGAGCTATGATTATTAGGAGCCGAGCAGCGGGTAAAACCGTGTGAGAGTAGCCAGTAAGATAATACAAAATAACAACACCACCGTCGCTTTTCACCAGGAAGGGTTATATTGCAACTCCTGTAGCTATCTTAATTCTCATGTTATGTTGGTAATTCTCATAACCCAGCCGAAAGTCAACTCTGGAGATCTATAGAAAATATCGTAAAATTCGAATGACTTCTTTCCAGCGCAACAGCCTAAATCAAAATCACAGTGTTGCGACTTGACTAAGGAAAAGAGAATCGTATAATAAACGTCTATAAGTTATTATTTATGGCATCGAATGTTTCATAAATTGGGCTCGAGAGCCATAGATGCGCTGGGGACAGTGAAGAGTGTCACAAGCTGCTCTCGAAATCTTCAGATTATTTATTAGAACCGAAGTCCCTTGAGGATAATAAAATGTAGCAAATGAGCACCAGCCTACCGCGTTTTTGAGGGTAAATCGAAATATACTTTCTGGAAGCTAAATATTTTGTGCAATTTGGATGTCTTTCCACGTTTATCAAGTTTCTGGATATTAAGACACAATTTAAATAAGAATCAATATGCATCTCGATTCTTAATCTATACACGTATCCACTAAGAAAAAAGAATCCAATTTATGCATAAAGAAATCTTTTATTTAAAAGGAATACATAAGCGTAATATAAAACAGATACTCTTTGGGTAATGTCTAGGTAGATAGGAAAAATATGTTCAAAGAAACATAATTTAGTTCTTTATTACTTTATTCTATTCAATTCTCTTGATATACTACAATATATAGATGATTCGTACCCTGGTGTGTTAGGAAAGACAGTTTGATGTATTACAAAATCTTAGTCGGCTTACAGTTTGACAGAATATCAATGGTTTCATGATTGAAGTAGACAATATAGACATCTTGAGAACGTACGCAGAACAGGCGACATTTATTTTATTTTATATTATCTATTATTTTGATTTTATATATCGTTGCCTGATGTTTTGTAGCCTACTAGCTCCTCTCGCGCGGTTTCACGCGCTGCTCGGCTCCATTTAATCGTAGCGTGATGTTATATAGCCTATAGCACTCAGTAACATTGTAGCTATCTATTAGTGAAAGAATTTTGGCAATCCCAGCAGCGGTTCCAAAGATTACCCCCTACATACAAACTTACAAATTTTACCTCTTTATAATATTAGTTTAGACTAGCTTCGCACGGCTTTGCAGTAATCCAGGGCACCTCCTATCTACATACCAAATTTCAATTAAATCAATTTCAAAGAATAACAAACATACATCCGTTACTTTCCCATAAACTTTTACATTTATAATGTTATAGTAGGATAGCCTTCGTCGATAAATGGAATATTCAACACATAAAGCATTGTTAAATTCGAACCAGTAGTTTCAGAGATTACCGCGTTAAAAAAATGACTTACTCTTCAGGTTTATAATATTACATACATTCGCTAAACCTGTAAAAAATTATGAGTTCTATTGGATAATGTTAATTAATTTTTCATTAAAAAAACTGATCAGATATAGTTGAAATTTGACACCCAGATAGGCTTGTAAAACCTATAATATGTAGATGAAATGCAGATAGGCTTGTAGAAAACATTGTAAAAATAGATGTTTTTATTCTGGTAATAGAAAAACCCCACAAAAGTATGATGGCATCAAAACGACTTCTAAAATGTTATTTTTCAAAGAAGCACAAGTAGATTATATTATTAGTACCATGATATAAAAATGTCTGGTCTGAAGGAAGCCAAACCTTGACCTTTAAGTTTATTTCAGCTTTTATCTTTAGAGGCCAGAAAAAGACTGAAAATATTTAGTCTATCAACTTAGTAAATATGGTTATGTTTGTGGAACAAAGATATGTCAGTAAAAATATATTATATGAAAAAGCCTTGTTAGTTACACTATTCAGAACTCAAAAACGGCTTAATCGATTTCGATGAGAATTGGTGGGAATGTTTAGAACCAGAAGAATAACATAGATAGGGAAGAGAAGGCAGTGTAGGGTAGGGTATGGTAGGATCGGGTGGATAGAGTAAGGTAAATATTGTAAGGTAGGTAGAGTAGGGAAGATAGTGTAAGTAGGTGTGGTAGATTGCGTAGGTAGTCAAATGACAGTAGCGAAGCTGCTGGTAAAAGCTAGCTACTAATACTGTTAGAGTTCCAATCTTAACACAGACCGTATTTTTTTTATAATTCGTATAAATTGGATCTACCTCGATGTGCGAATGCTTACTTTTCACAGAAGGTACATAAGTGCACTAGGTTTTTCTGATTTATAAGGTCTCAAAAGACAAAATATGCATTTTTTCAATAAAACAATAAATGTCAACTAAATCTTAGTTACCACCAATAAACATGAATGTAAACAACCATACTTACAACCACCCTAACATTTCCCATTCACGAGAACATGTATTATAAATCTAACAATAAATACGCAACAATAATGTCCCATTCACATCACAATTTATTATCAAAATATCTTGTAAATAGGATAGAGGCTGTCAATACAAAATATACAGGAGCCATCGCCGTTGTGAGGTTGACACTTATAGATGTCCAATTTTATTTCCCTCATTCCTTTCGTTGCCTTAAAACGAGTTTCGTGTATATTCAAATACTATTTATTGGGTCGTCGTTTGAATGAAACATTCTACACTAAATAAATTTCTTCCTATATAAAGTATTAACAGGATTTGTTTTGTATCCTGGTTTTCCGATGTTTATTTGTTTAAAATGCGTGATTCATATCGATTGTTATTAAGAAACTGTATTTTCGTATTGATTGTTTGTTGTTAATGTTGAGTTTTTTATGTCATAGGTCGTCAAACGAGCAGACGGATTACCTGATGGTAAGCAATCAGCCCCGCCCATGGCCGCTCGTAGTACCAGGACAGACGTGAGGGAGAGTCAGACTCTTACTAACTAAAAACCCCCCCGTTCCTTCTCCTGCTTTAGGCCGTGGCCGCGGTGCCTCATTGCACTTGCCCCGCAACCCAGGCGGAAAATCAGCCCAGTAGGGCCCCGTTTGTGGTTGTCTATTATTGGCACTTAGAGGCGCGCGTGGAACGCTACGCGCCGTACGCTCGGGTCTGGTTCCGGTCGGTCAGCGAGCTACCCTTACTCGCCGTCCTCAGACTTGGCTTACCGTGCCCGGAGATCATCTCTCGACCACGACGAGATCTGGACTTTCAATTTCTTGTAACAATAATTGAAATCATCAATCCACCTTGCGCGAGGTGCGTTGATTAATACATAAACTCTTTCACCGTATGATGGCCTTTGCTCATCTTCTGATGTTGTGTATGCAAAAAAAAAAAACAAAAAATATAATATCTGCATTGGTATACGTAACAATAGGCACGTATAAATATTGGCACCGGTTGTGTGCCATCCGTAGTGTATTTGCCGATACACCAGGCACCGCAGGCTCCGTCTCCGCCCTCTGGACGCTGAAACCAGAGAGGCGGAGCTATACGAGGAGTACAGGGCGGCGAAGGCCACCCTCAGGGTGGAGATCCGGCGGGCCAAAGATCGGGCCCGCGAGGAGATGTTGGAGACTCTGAACAGAGACCCGTGGGGACGCCCCTACCGGATGGTGCGTGATAAGCTCCGCACCTGGGCGCCCCCACTGACTCAGAGTCTCCGGCCGGAGGTCGTGGACGAAGTGGTTGGGGCGCTATTCCCCCGACCACAGATGGGTTACACGCCTCCGGCTATGCCCCCGCCCCCTGCGGTGCCCAATGCGGGCTACATCGACGACGACGACGAATCCGCTCCGGAAGTGACCGAGGTAGATTTGAGAGTGGCGGTGCGCCGGCTGAGCGGCAAGAATACCGCCCCAGGACCTGACGGGCTGCATGCCAAGGTCTGGGTCCTGGCCTCGGAGGCTCTCAGGCCTCGACTACTTGGTCTGTTCAGCGCATGTTTGGAGAGAGGCCAGTTTCCGCTGTCGTGGAAGACGGGTAAACTGGTCCTCGTGAAGAAGCCGGGGCGTCCTGCGGACTCTCCGTCCGCGTACCGGCCCATTGTGCTGCTCGACGAGGTGGGAAAGCTGTTCGAGAGGATAATCTCAGACCGCCTCGTCGGGCACCTGTCTGGAAGGGGGCCGGATTTAGCGGACGGCCAGTTCGGCTTCCGCAGAGGGCGCTCCACGGTGGACGCCATCATGCGCGTGAGGGACCTCACGACGGGGACAGCGTTGGCCGGGAGGCGAGTCGTCGTGGCGGTGTCTCTGGACATCGCCAACGCCTTTAACTCGCTGCCCTGGAGCTGCATTTTGGAGGCACTCCGGTATCACCGGGTGCCTGCCTATCTCCGTCGCGTAGTCGAGGCTTACTTGACGGACAGATGCGTCATCTACCCCGGTCACCGGGGCGTGTGGAATCGGCGAGAGGTGTCGCGCGGTGTCCCACAGGGATCGGTCCTGGGACCTCTCCTGTGGAACATCGGGTACGATTGGGTGCTACGCACCGACCTCCCGAGCGGCGTCAGCATTGTCTGCTATGCTGACGACACGCTGGTGCTGGCGAACGGGAGGTCGCATCAGGCGGCGGCCGACCTGGTGTCACAAGCGGTTGCGACAGTCGTTGCAAGGATCCGGCAGTTGGGACTCGAGGTGGCGCTCCACAAGTCCGAGGCCATGTGCTTCTATGGCCGTCGGAGCGCGCCACCTCCAGGTGGGTCCCAAATAACGGCAGGAGGAGTTACCATCGGCGTCGAGTCGGCGATGAAGTACCTGGGTCTCGTCCTCGACAGCCGATGGAACTTCACGGAGCATTTTCGTCGTTTGGCCCCTAAGTTAGAACGGTCTGGGGCCGCGCTCAAGCGGCTCCTTCCCAACCTCGGGGGGCCAAACGCCTCCTGCCGGAGGTTGTATATGGGGATTGTGCGATCCATGGCCCTCTACGGTGCCCCTGTGTGGGCGCCGGCCTTGAAGCGGCGGCCGGCTCGTACGCTGGTCGCGTCCCAGAGGGTCATGGCTATTCGAGTAATTCGCGGGTATCGCACGATCTCCGGGGAGGCGGCGAACCTCCTTGCCGGATCACCGCCGTGGGATCTAGAAGCGAAGGCGCTCGCGCGCGTCTACAGTTTGCGCGCAGACGCGCGTCGCCGGGGCGAAGATCCTCTGCCGCGCCAAATTAGTGCGTGGCGGAATGAGCTCCGGCGAGATCTCATGGCAGAGTGGAAACAACGACTGTCGCAACCGAGGGCCGGGCACGCTACCATAGCAGCGGTAAGACCCCTCTTTGAGGAGTGGCTTGAGAGACGCCACGGCGTCCTCACCTTCCGTCTGACGCAGGTGCTTACCGGGCACGGCAGCTTCGGTAGGTTCCTGTTTCGGATTCAGCGGGAGGAAACGCCCGAGTGTCGTCATTGTGAGGACCACCTAGAGGATACGGTGGAGCATACGGTAGCGGTATGCCCTGCCTGGGCTGAGCACCGCCGTATCCTCAGGGAAGTGATCGGCGGCGGCGACCTCTCGCGCCCGGCCTTAGTCGAGGCCATGGTGCGGAGTGAGAGGAACTGGGACGCCGTCTCCTCCTTTTGTGAAGCAGTCATGCTCGCAAAGAGAGAGGCGGCCCGCGTGAGGGAGCAATCCTCCTCCTCACGCCCCAGCAGCCGCAACTGGCGACACTACGGGCGTCGGGGATCGAGGGACGATCTCCGGCCACCGTAAGTACGGGCCTGCGGTCGGCGAGTAAGGGCAGCTCGCCGCCCGACCAGAACCAGGCCCGAGCGTACGGCGCGTAGCGTTCCGCGCGCGCCTCAAAGAGCCAATAGACCACCACAGACGGGGCCCTAAAGGGCTGATGTTCAGCCGGGGTTGCGGGGTAAGCGCAATGAGGTACCGCGACCTCGGCACAGAGCAGGAGAAGGAACAGGGGGGTTTTTAGTCAGTAAGAGTCTGACACTCCCTCCTGCCCGGCCCTGGGCGGGAGAAGTCATTTGATGATTTTCCCCTCACAAAAAAAAAAAAAAAAAAAATCCGTAGTGTATTTCAATATGAATTTTAGTTACGACTCTTTGTTTTATGGTAGTTGGCAGTGCACGTAATGGATTAGATGTAATAAAACTGCTCTCACAAAATTGAAAATATCATACACAACAATATAGTTTGAGGCCAAATATTAGATGGCACATTTATTATCTGTATCTGTACAAGTGATCGTAAAAGAGGTTATTAAGTATGCTGATTATTATTTTGAAGGTTACCGGAGACCCAATCCTTCCCTTACCCCAATCCGTCCCCTTTCCAAAATCTCCGAATCCCTAATCCCCAAAAGATTGACAATGCACTCGTACGCTGCGAATAAAAAAAAGAATAATGGAAAGTAGTGATGCCACGTTATTTACTGTTTTATTATTTTGTTTTTTATATTAATAACATATAACAAATAAATTTTTGACATGTTTTAAGCTCTGCTGGAGTCAGCTCATTATCGCATGGGCTGAGTCGTCTTGCGTATAAAAACGTCCTATAGTCGGCGGGGTTAGGTCGGGTTATTTCGCTACCAAAAAATGATTGGGTCACTCAGCGTGTTGGTGGGCTGACTTAGCAGAGCAGTCGATACATGTAATATACAATTAGGTTGTAGATGCGAAAGTGTAACGTGTTAATTCTATAAAATAATTGGTTGATTGTAGTAGACAAAATCTGTATTTGTAAAATATTAAGTTTTAATAATGATTTGGAAATTGTATGACGAGGGCACGGACTCCGAGTCCGTGAAGATTGTAAATTAATATTTTGAAAAAAAGTGATGCCACGTTTCACGGAAAACCGGCGTGAAACAACTACAGCGTCGTGTTTCGCTGTGAAAGTGAGGTAAAAACATCGATCACTAATTATTAGTGATCGATGGGTAAAAACTAAAATAAATTGAAAGGTTGTCTGTAAGAAATCTATAAGGCCGCCTATAGACAAAAAATAATGTTGTGATTGCATCACAACATTATTTTTTGTCTACCTAGTTAGTGTATGTGTGCAATTAAGTATATAAATGAATAAATAATTAGGTAGATATATTGATAAAATCAATGAATGAAAGAATGAATGAAGAATGTTTTAATACTTCACTGCATTGAATTGTCAAAACAATTTATATTTCATTTACGAAGAAACCAATGAACTGGGTGGCTCAGTAAATCGATTTTGCTCACGTTCACAGTGCAGGCGTTTAACTGTACAATATGTATTGGTTGAAGTTTACTTCCTAATTTTTATGGCTATGCATATATGTCAGGTTTAAGTGTGGGAGAGCCATGCTTTGGCACGAATGACTCGACCGGAGTGATACCACGGTCTCACAGAAAACCGGCGTGAAACAACCACAGCGTTGTGTTTCGTCATGTGAGTGAAGTTACTGGGGCCCAATCCTTCCCCTCCCCCAGTCCCTCCTCAATCCCTAAATCTCCGAATCCCTAATCCCTAAAAGGTCGGCAACGCATTCGTAACTCCTCCGCCCATGGAGGGCGGCGATAATTGCTTACCATCAGGTAATCCGTCTGCTCGATTGCCGACCAATTACATAAAAAAAGGTGTTGCCAACAAAGATGTAAGTCAGAAGTGTAAGTGCTACTTTACTAATATGAGTAATTTTTTACTTAATACAATTTGTGAAGGACATCCTACTAATATCACTAATGAGAAAGTTACCCTTTTATGTAAGAACTGTTTTTGCTGAAAATAGGCATAGAAATAGACTATAACCTAGAGTAATATATGTATTCTATTAACTTCTTTTCATTCGGGTAATGCGGGCGAAGCTGTAAGGAGAAGTTAGTATAAAATAAACACCTTTAAGTTTCATGAAATAAAATTTATTCAATCATACTAAGAGTATCAACTAGGTACAAGGAATTAAACATATAATTAAGTCATATCAATATAGATACGACATATACTGATGTAAAAGAGATTATTTTTTTAAGTCCTAGGTACAAATTTTACTTTGCCTCCGCCTTTAGGTCCTAGAATGACGCTGTAGGGATCGCTCTCCATTTTTACGGGCGCAGCAGGCTCAAATCTATATTTAGTTATCAACTGGGCGATCGCTGTCCTTATCTGCATCATCCCGTAGCGTTTACCTGCGATAATTGAATAATTATGATGTAAGAAATCAGTTTAAATGTAATAAGGGTGTTTTGGTATTTTATGGTCTAAGTTTCTTGATACTTTAGTGTATTGAGAACACATTTAATACTGAAATTATCAGTAGCTTTCGAATCATAGTTCTATTATACAGTCATTATCTTATGTCGCTATGGTAACAACGAGGGTCGAACGCATTGGAACTTTACCAACTTTTTTTTTATGTAAACGGTCGACAAACGAGCAGACGGATTACCTGATGGTAAGCAATCAGCGCCGCCCATGGACACTCGCAACGGAGTAGTTACGAGTGCGTTGCCAACATTTTAGGGATTTGGGATTTGGAGATTTAGGGAATGGGGAGAGGAAGGATTGGGCCTCCGATAAACCGACCAAAACTATAATGAATTTTCTGCCTGTGACTCAATATGCTGAATGAACATCATTACATTTCTTTTCCCACCCTGGGTGTTAGTGTCAGATTTTTCCTACTCCAAGGCGAGCCGTGGGTGCCTACACAACTCCGGCTAATTATTACAACCATCAGTATTTGTTTGTTACAATTAATCTTATGTCCAACCGGTACGTTGCTTTAAACACAAAGAGAATGATTCGTTTCGCAGTAGGTCTACCGCTAGTGATTATCTGTAGTCTAATAGTCTATAGTAATATTATAAAGAAGTAAAATCTGTAAGTTTGTATGTTTGTATGTAGGGGGTAATCTTTGGAACCGCTGGTCGGATTGCCAAAATTCTTTCACTGATAGATAGCTACAATGTTCCTGAGTCCTATAGGCTATAAAACATCACGCTACAATCAAAAGGAGCCGAGCAGCGGGTCAAACCGCGCGAGAGTGGTTAGTGAATAATAAAGATATCGCTTCAAAGAACACATAATTGTGCCACTAGTAACTCCAAAAACTCATCAGCTAATATTTATAATTATGTTATTTACAAGACACCCGGACCGGATATTTTGATTAAAAAAAGTATTTTCACGTGACACTTATACCTTATCTTAATGCTCGCACGTGATTGATAACTTTTGTATAATTGTAAAAAACTCAGTTGTAATATAAATAACTTATTTTAGTGAATTTTTTTTCTACATTTTAATTTTTAGGGCCATCCATTCACGACCATGTTGGTCTGTTCATTACCTTTTAATCTCTCTCGTTAGATTAAAATCTTTGTCATAATTGATATTAAGTTCATTTTGCCACAAATATAATACATACCTATACAGAATCTGGGACCTTCACCGAATGGTAGGAAGGTGAAATCGTGGTTGTCGCTGTCGGTGGAATTGATGAATCTCTCGGGACGCCACTCTTCGGGTTCAGGGTAATTGTCCTCGTTGTAGTGGATGGATACCACGTTCACGTAGACTGGGGTGCCAGGTTCCACTGTCAAGTTTTCAGTCAGTTGGTACGCCTTGTTGCATACTCTGTCCAAATGTGGCACTGGTGGGTACTTCCTTAATGTTTCTGGAAAAGTGTTGCACGATAAAATAGGGTAAGTTTTGTATTAGGATAAATAAACTAAATATTAATTTATAAATTGCTATTTATTTTAAAAATATGTGATTTAAATTGTTATGTTATTTATTTTAAACACATTCAGATACAACGTTAATTATTAAATTAATTCTTGAAAAGAAATAAAATGGAAATGCTCCTAGGAGTTTCATTTTGCATACTTAATTGATAGACGAAGACAGTCTATCAATTAAGTATATATAACCAAACAAACATTAAGGCTAAAAACAAACAATCCTTTAATTATTTTACGCGAACGAATGGATAGAAATCGAAAATAAGCCCTCGTGAAAGACAGTTCTATTTAAGATCCCCCAAAGCATAAGCCAGACAGGGTGACGATAAGTAAAATTGTACTAATAATTTTTTTCATTTGTTTTTTGTTGTCTATGCTCGGGATTTGGTAGCACAAGTCTGTGATGGCTACCCTTGCAGATATTATTTACGTGACCGCTAGATATTGTAGTAATAGCGGCAGTAAAACTTGCGTGAGGCGCAAAATCAAAATTAGAAGAAAATCTTTAGAAATTAGTTTTTTTTTGGTTTGGCTCATTAACAGAGTGGTCTAATATGGCAAAGATTTTTATGTTTATTAACTAATTACAGTGTCAGTAAAGTTTCTTTTCATTTCTTCTTAAACGTGATGTATTGATTATCAAACGATCGTGATTACTGATTACACGTAAGTGTCGAAAGAGACCGAAAAAAATCAGATTCAAATAAAAATAATCTTTGCATTTTTCCACTTTTCTTCTGAGTGTGGGAAACAGGAAAAATACTGACGATAAATTCCCGAATTGGTGTGAGAACAAGTTGAAATATTACACTTGTAATCGTTTCACTCACCATGCATGCACGCCGTCAGATATTTTACTTTCAACAAGTCATCATACTCCAGTATTTCCTTCCCGCTCTCTTTTAGCATCGCTGTAACTTCCTGGTAAAGTTTTTCCTGAAAGAAATCGCACATTGTACTTCCTACTGTTTTTACATTAGCATTTTTGAATGTTTTCGGTAGATATTATTGTTTTTGGACACAGTCGAAAGATAGGAAATTTTGACAAAATTGCAGTTACTATCAGTTAGTATGTGGGTATCAATCTTAATCTTAATGTATTGTTTCAATTATCTTTGATAACTCGGAATATATTAACAGTGAGATATCCTTAGCCAAAAGTACCTGCTAAGTGCAATCATATTATAATTAATTATTTGTATGTATTTGGCAATCATGTGGCAACATGGTCTCGGTCATGAAGAAGAAGTCCCAACAGACCAAATTTTTAAGCTATTGAATTGTTATAATTATTATTTACATACTCAATAATAGTTGGGAAACATGATTGCTTGACAATTTTGGTTCTTCATGATGTTATCTATAGAGATAAGGTATAATTTAGAATTCAACTAGTGCATTTAATTTTAAGTAATGTATAGTAATGCATTGATTTTTTTATTGCGCACAAATATCACTACCTAGTATAAAACGAAGTCGTTTTCTCGGTTCCTATATCTCTATTTATGCCTAAATTTAATTTAAAAATAAAAAAAATATTTTTAAATTTAATCTTAAAAAACTATGCTAAATGCTTAAAACTATGCTATTTTTTTAATAGATAGAGTGATTGAAGAGGAATGTTTATATGTATGGTAACATTAATTAAATAGTGACGAAGTTTAGTAACAGCATGCACCCGTGCGAAGCTGGGGCGGGTCGATAGTCTATACTAATATTATAAAGAGGTAAAATTTGTAAGTTTGTATGTAGGGGGTGATCTTTGGAATCGCTGATCGGATTACCAAAATTCTTTCTTTGATAGATACCTACAGGCTACAATGTTCCTGATTGCTATGATCAAATGGAGCTGACCAGCGGGTGAAACCGCGTGGGAATAGCTAGTGTGTTATAAAATACACATAAATGGTTCACTAAGTAGCAATATAAAGTTACCTGTTCCTCTGGATGGTAAGCAAGCTCATTAAGGCAGTACGTCAATGTTGTTGATGATGTTTCAATAGAACCCAATATGAACACAGCCACCTGAGCCATCATTAAGTTATCAGCTAATTCTGAAAGATAAACAATTAGGCTAGATTAACGACTAAGTCGTTTAAACATATTTTTTTAGAATTTTAAAAATCACAGTTTGTGTAACAGTTGCGAGATTTGAATGGATAGCTGTGAAATAACTTTTTTTAGCAGAAAATATTCTGTTTTTAGTTTCTTGAAAATTAGTTAAAATAATCCGAATCTGAATATACGAATTCTTCAATTTAATGATGAGATACTTTATCTCATCATTAAAGTGTGATGTTTTTATTAATTTTATAAAACATATTATTGACTACCTAATTCAAGAAATTTTAATATCCAGTGTTACACACAATTATTGATTCTTAATATCTGTCATTGATAGATTTTGTTTCTGATATATACGATTAGTGTCAGATAGTTTTGGATGGCATTTATTAGATCGTTATTTTGCGTCCCATATCGAGGTAACTTGTAGATATTTGTTGAAATCACATTGTTCATCTGGTTTATTTGAACTTGACTACCTAGTATGAAATAAGGTGTTTATAATCAAAGAATCGTTAGGATTTTAAATATAGACATTCTGACTAAGAAAGGTCCTTTTTAGAAGGATTTATAAATTACTTTAGTAAGGATTATTTTACTCTTTATGTGAAGAACACCTCAAGCTACGTAAGTACAAAAAATTATCTAAATAACACAAAAAGTACAACAAAGAATTTAATACAAAGTTCAAGGAAGGTTCTGGAATGGTCTAGAAGTTTCGACGTGTCGTACCAGTCTCGAAGGACGAACTTACCTGCATCGGATCCAACCGGGAGTTTCAAGTTCGCCTTTAACTTTAGTAAATGATTGACGAGGTCCTTGTCATTGGATTCACCGGTTTTCTTTCTTTGGGCTACTACTTCATGGAATAACTTCCTTATGTGTTCAGTTGCAGGCTGCGAGAAGAATTTTAATCTGAAAGTATGAATCTATTGTTAGGTATATGTGTAAACAACAAGAGTGGGAGTGTGCTTCGGCACATTCGGGCCAACTCGACCGGAGTCCGTGTGGCGGAGTGATGGCGTGGTATCAAACACAGTGTTAGTGTTGCACTTACGTCAATCCTCAAATCCCTTATACTTAAATCCCTAATAAGCCACAAGAGCCCAGCAACGGACTTGTAACTCCTTTGATATTACGAGTTTTTAAGGGCGGCGCTGATTGCTTACCACCAGGTTATCATTTCTGCTAAAACGAGGCTTCCGGGGACAGAAATTGATTTAGTTTTTTACGTATCCGGCTACTGGTACCGCGGTCTGAGTTATTAGGTTCCCATCGCCGGAAGCCTCAAAAAAACATACAACTTATCAATCTAATAGTCGAATTGTTACTAGATTTAAAATAGTTCAAATTACATTTTGATAAAACCTATTAAGTACCTTTTTTAAAAATAAAAACATGTTTGAATTAAGAATGAATTTAGAATATTTTATTCACATGTTACACACTAAGTGAAAGGAAGATAAAAAGGAATCTTAGATGTGTTTCCTCAACGACTTTGTAAACAAACATATGTTTACTTTACTGGTTAAATTTATAGATACTCTTTTTTGTGGTATTGGGTGCCAAATGAGGAGATGGATAACCTTAGGTATGTTTTAACATTAGGTAAATGGTCCGATTTGGGGATTGAGGATGAAGCATTGCTCTGCCGTGCCGTACTACGCTCAAAATACAACGTGTGCGTTGTATTTCACGCCGATTTAGAAAGACTGTGGTACAATGATATTATAAGTAAAAAGGTGTAGATAGGTTACAACAAGCGCTCAACAAGTGATAAAATGTGGCTCTCTTTCACTCGCGATTATTGAATCATGCCATCTCACTTTGACGTCTGAACATACGAATTGTTCATATGTGTATCAGTGTGTCGTTTTTGAAAATCGAATTTTGTTTAAGTAACCTATCTACACCGTCATTGCTGTAGTATAAGTCCGGCCTGGCTTGCCTATCTGGGCCGAAGCATGGTTAATGGTCCGCTAGTAGCAGTGTCGGAGACACCTAAATAACAATGTAAGTATTACAATAAAAAAATATACATTTTTTTAAGTTTTCGAATGTAATTATTTTATATCAAACCTTGTTTCAAGTTAAAGCATTCATACTGATATACGTCACAACTAGTGACAATGAAAATTTTACATAATAGACGACTAAATCTGGTTTGCATACATCGTCGATTGTCGACTATGGCCGACACAATAACTGCATTGATATTTGATACTAACTGAATTTGCATCGCGATATCCTGTGTGCGATTGCCGCACTGAGATAGAGTTTTATAACAACTTTATTTAGCTAATAAAAAATTCTTCACAGATGGAATAAAGAATATAAAACGGAAATCAGCTAACTATTTATACCTTGATTACACATATTGTACATGTCACAAGTTCGTAAATACTCATGACATAAATTTTATTAAAACCTGCATGTTTATTTGTTTTAATTAATAAGCACACATTATTATTATTTTTTTATTTATAAGCTTCTAAGTTTGTCAGCATAACCACGTTTCGTCGACGCTCCTAAGAAGCTGGCGTATATAGTGCGTTTTTAAAATTTTGTCCTGTATTGTGTGGTGCCTTTAAAAGAATACACCACATTATACCCACTCCCAGAACTAAAATTTGTGGTGAACAAAGAGCTGTTCCGTGCGAGGATTGAAACCAAAACTGCTGTTGCATCTTTACAGTTTGTGTATGTAGGTATGTATCATGTTAATTCTTAATGTTTTACCTGAAGATTTCGGCGATAACTGGAAGGAAGAAGACCATGGTAAATTCCAATCCTCTCCAGAAGGTCCACCTCACCATGTGCTGTGTGATGTCCCAGAGGGGTGAGGCAAGATCTTTCAGAGCACTCACTCGAATGCCAAAAACTGTATAAGCCACCGTGTCTGATGTGTACATTGAAAACAGTTCCTGTAACAAAGTTAAATCGAGTTTTCATTCAAATTATATTTGGCAACAGTTTAAAGATAGGTACGCTACTAAACCTGCGAATACGATCGGCAAGATTTTCAAAAAATACCATTTTGGTGTTATAAACATAACTTAGAATATCAGTAACTATAGGTGTAGTGATAATATACGTTAAAAAGAAGAAAAGTCCCTACAATGCATCTGTGTGAAGCAAAATTGTCTGGATTATTTTAAATCTTAAAAAATATTGATCAACATTTTTTGGCAGCGGGTAAATTTCTTATAAGCTAAAATTAAATGACCGCAATGTAACAGTATTTTATAAAATTTTAATGATAATTAAGTAGAATATTCCGCAGCACATGAGATCCTGGCACAAAACCCATATATCAATAGAAGATATTACCCGTGCGAATACGAGGCATACTATTATTTTTTAAAAGCAATGAAACAGAATATCGTATTCTAGCAAAAAGTATAAGTGCTGGATGTGTTCTGACCGCCTTCAGGTATCGATCTCCAATATCATTTCCTTTCCAAGCGTCCACCGAAGCAACGTCTTCGTTAACTATTTCTTTTTCAGCTCCCTGATAGACTGGTATTGTCGTTCATATTTTTTATTGGTACTCAGAGCAGGAAACTCTGTTAGGCAACTATGTTTATCCGTCTAACAAACATTGTTTGGGAAAAAGAAATGCTTGCTATTGAAACAATGAATTTATTTTTGCAAATAGGCCATAAAACGGCACTTTTACACGTCAATTTATATGTAAAAAACTAGATGAAGCCGGCATTTCCTATCTGACTACTCTGAGAAGAAATGCCGAAACAAACTCAGAGGTCAGTCTATATACATATTGTCAGTACAGTCTATATATATATATTGTTCTGATCAATGCGTCTAGTAAAATTATGTGTACAATGAGGCGAATAAAGCTTGTTTTGCTATTCATTGGAAAGTCTTTATAAAGAATTATCGAACAAATGGCTTACATCTGGACTAAAGCACACAAACACTTTTTTTGTGAGGGGATAGTCATCAAATGCTTTCTCTCACCCAGGGTGAGGCGAGAGCGAGTGTCAAACTCTTACTAACTTAAAACCCACTGTTCTTTCTCCTACTTTAGAACATACATAACTTATTGGACCAAAGTGTGGGAGAGCCATGCTTCGGCACGAATGGGTCGGCTCGACTGGAGTAATACCACGGCCTCACAGAAAACCGGCGTGAAATAACCACTGCGTTGTGTTTCGCCGTGTGAGTGAGGTTACCGGAGGCCCAATCCTTCCCCGTCCCCAATTCCTCCTCAATCCCTAAATCTCCAAATCCCTAATCCCTTAAAGGTCGGCAACGCACTCGTAACTCCTCCGTTGCCAGTGTCCATGGGCGGCGCTGATTGCTTACCATCAGGTAATCCGTCTGCTCGTTTGCCGACCTATTACATAAAAAAATAATAATAAGACATTAAAGATTTTTTAAACGCTAGTAATGCGAAAATTGCCATACAGCTTATTATTTTAAATAAAACATGTGTAGCAGAACACCTAAATATATTAAAAGTTAATTATTATTAATTATTGATAATTTTAGACTTTGCCACATACAAGCATAAAGTTCAACTAATGAAATATTATACTGAATTAATAGCTCATATCAGTAAGAATGAGGTTATGGACCTAGTTTTGTATTAAGACTGGTAATAAAACAATTCCTAACATTTAACTAAATGGTATGTAACTTACTTTTTGTTAAATGTATGACTAAATTTGATTTGGGCAGGAAGATTAAACTATACTGATACCTTGCCAAAAAAAAACGATGTCATTATAATAACAGATCTCTGTTCCATGTTTGCAAGCTTCTGTTCCATGGACTTACTAAATAATGTACTAAAGAATCTTTATGGAAAACTTATTGAAAAAAAAGAGTAACCATGGAGTTTCGTGCTCGTTCTTCTCCATCAGAATCTACACATAGGAACGAGCAAATAGCTTTACTAAGAGGACTGACCGACAGACTGACATTTTATAACTTTAAAATTTTGTTTTACGTTAAAAAGTCTTTGTATGTGTCTAATTGAAATAAAAGATTTTGACTTTGTATTTGAACACACTATGCAGTTGCAGCAAAATTGCCCACTGCTGAGCAAAGGCCTCCTCTCACACAGAGAAGGTTAGATCATTAATCATGATGCTTGCTCAAGGCGGGTTGGTGATTTCAAACTTGTAATTAGAAATTATAACTTCAGGTTTCCGCACGATGTTTCCTCTTATCGTTTTTCGGTGGTATATAAATACACTAAGACATTTAAAGCTGTTTGTTTGAACGCGCTAATCTCCGAAACTACTGGTTCGAATTGAAGAATTCTTTTTGTGTTGGTTAGGACATTCATCGGGAAAGCTATAGGCTATGAAGGAGCAGAGCAGCGGGTGAAAATGCGCGGCAGTAGCTATTATTATTTTCATATATCTAAATATTTATATCATAATATAAGTTTTTTGAAAGCGTTAGTTGATTTTAAGTTATTTGCTTTAGAATCAGATAATTACTGAAATAATTCAAAATAGTTTCAAGTTCCATTTTTGTATAGCATCAAATTTAAAAATTACTATGATTGGACAATCTCTTTTCTTATTATTTTCTGTCCACTATGTTTGATGGATGACGTTAAACAAAAAACTTTTAAAGTTTCATACTTTTAATACTATTAGCAAGGCAGATCCATCAAGGCACACTGAGTTTATGAAAACTTCATGAGCACTTTAATTATAAACAAAAAGGAACTTAAGTCACATTATTATCTTCTTAAAATCATTGAGTTAATATTTTTATAATTTTGATAACAAGTTTTTCGAATAATCAGAATCGACATCGACCGCCATCTTTTTTTGCATCAAAATTAATTCTTAAAAATTAGCATGAAAGAAAATTACACAAATGTATTGTAAACTCAATAAATAAAAATATGTAATTTAATTTTCTATGTTACATAAAATAATATTAATATTTTGACTGCACGGTTGCTGCGGTGGCTGGGCAACTGGGCTGCCGTGCAACGTGTCGCGGGTTCGATTCTCGCACGGAACATCTCTTTGTGTGATCCACAAATTATTGTTCCGGGTCTGGGTGTCTTGTGCATGTGAAAATGTATGTTTGTAACAGCACCCACGACACAGGAAAAAATCCTAGTGTGGGCAACGTTTTAAATAAAAGAGAAAGAGAAAAGAATATCAATTGTTGACTATCTTTCTCTTGTGAATAGAAAATCATCAACTGCTTTCTTTAGCCCAGGGTAAGGCGAGAGGGAGTGTCAGCAGACTCTTACTGACTAAAACTTCCCCATCCTCTTCCGTTTCAGGTCGAGGCTGCGGTACCTTATTGCGCTTGTCCCGCAACCCCGGCTGATCATCGGCCGTGTACCCATCTGTAGTGGTCTATTGGCTCTTTGAGGCAACTAACTTAATTGTCTTAATACACTCTTTATGTGACTCGTTAATTCGTAATTAACAAGTGTTGCAGTGTTTGAATAAATACGTGACAGCGGTCACGATTGATCAATAATTTATACAGTAGTTAGAGTAATAATGGGTTCTGTCATTACCTATATCATAAATTTATTATTAATTATAAAAAAATAGTTGAAAGCTATATTTCATAAAATACAGTTTTTTTTAAAAATCCTGATTTTACTGTCAGTAGAGAATTAATTAGGTATAAAGATATTATTTGATTTATCTTTTACTGTACATACTGGCTTACATAAGTAATAGCGGTTTTGGGAGGCTGTGGCGGGCTTGACAAAAAAAAGATAAGATATTATTATTTATTAATAACTAGATGTGTGTAATATTTATATGTGTTTATATATGTATATATTATTTTTATATATGCAACTTAGAATTGATTTACACCTCCACCTCACGTAACTTCATAATTGGTATTTGTAATGTTTTCATCCAAACAACCCAAACTATAATATTATAAATGCGAAAGTAACTCTGTCTGTCTATCTATTTTAAGTCTGTCTTTTCTTCACGCCCAAACTACTGAACCTTTTTATGTGAAATTTGGTCCAGATATAGTTTGGAACTCGAGAAAGGACATAGGATAGGATTTTTTAACCAAAAATCTGCAGGAAGTAACTATTCCACGCGAACAGAGTTGCGAGCAAAAGCTAGTATCTAATTTAACAAACAAAAAACTAGCACTATTTGTATAAAAAAGCCACAAAGCGCCACCTACTGCTATCTTAACAGTTATTTTAATTCAATAAAGCAACTAAGACCGTGAAATAAAAACTTATTTCCTTGTTCGATTTCGACAAAAAAGTTATTCATAAAGCCGTCTTAAGATGGGATCGCCTCTTCAGGCTAGTCTTTACATTCATTGAAATTTTAAAAATCATCCCGTTAAGGCTGTTTTTTTTAGTAAGTTATTTTTTGTGCAAAAGAGGTTTAAGTACAAAGGATTTTAAAAATAGTCAGTGGTTAAATAGTAGCAAGTATAAACTGTCGGGTTAGAAGGGAATATTCTATTAGCGTATTTTAAAACGTATTCTTCTTTCAAATACAATGATTTTATGAATAGAAAGCTATTTAATTATATTAAGAATTTCACTAATGAGGTATCATCCCAATATATTCAGATATATTATAAAAAAGTAACAATAATAATTGCTTGTTATACTTGAGAACGGACTGTGTGTGTGTGGACTGGACATAATAAAAGAAGCTACACAATACTACGAGGAACTGTATTCAAGTCAATTAACAACTGAAATTCATGAATTTATACAAGAAAAGATGAATGACTACGAAAAAGTACCTCCAATACTTCTTTCAGAAATAGAGTATGCAATTAAGACACAAAAAAATAACAAATCGCCCGGAGATGATAGAATAACAAATGAACTTTTAAAGTCTCTATGTAAACCTCTACTGAGACCCATACAAACGATGTTTAACAATGTACTCGAAAAAAGAAAGACTCCAATTCAGTGGTCCAGATCTACAACAACATTACTACATAAGAAAGGAGATAGAGCTAACTTGAACAACTACAGGCCGATCAGTCTCATGAGCAATGTCTATAAAGTCTTTTCGAAGGTGATGCTGAGCAGAATCGCTAAAATACTAGACGAGAACCAACCGCGTGAACAAGCAGGATTCAGAAAGAAATTCTCGACGATCGATCACATCCACGTAGTTACACAACTTATAGAAAAAAGCAACGAATATGGAAGGACTGTGTATATCTGCTTTATAGACTTTGCCAAAGCTTTTGATTCCTTGGAGTATGGCGCGATCTGGAAAGCACTGGTAGAGCAAAACGTAGACATCGAATACATAGAGCTTTTATACAGTATCTACTCACATAGTTCATCTAAAATACGACTAGAGAGGGATGGAGAAGAATTTCCAATAAAGAAAGGAGTTAGACAGGGTGACCCACTCTCTCCCAAAATATTTTCTGCGGTTTTGGAGACAGTGTTTAGAAATATTAATTGGGAAAGACTAGGAATAAAAATAGACGGAGAATATTTAAATCACTTGAGGTTCGCGGACGATATTGCAATATTTTCAGAAAATAGTATACAGTTAGAAAAAATGATTAACGATCTGGCGAGAGAAAGTAAAAAGGTTGGGTTGTCGCTGAATACTTCAAAAACAAAAATAATTACAAATGGAAAAAACGAAGTTGTTAAGGTACACGGAGAAGCCATTGAGTACGTGTCAGAGTATATTTACCTAGGCCAATCTATTTCATTCAATGATCATACCGAAAAAGAAATAAATAGACGAATTGCAATAGCTTGGAAAAAACATTGGATGTTAAAGGAAATAATGAAAAACAAAGACATTGACATAAAAATTAAGAGTAAGCTGCACGACATAGTTATACTGCCCTGCCTTACATACGGTTGTCAAACATGGTCACTGCGCAAAAAAGATGAACATAAATTAGCCATACATCAAAGGAAAATGGAGAGAAGTATGTTGGGTATCAAAATATCAGACAAAATTAAAAATGAAACAGTAAGGAAAATAACGCAAGTAACCGACATACTTCAAAAGATAAGAACTATCAAATGGACATGGGCAGGTCACGTATGTAGAATGGCAGACAACAGATGGACTGTGAAGTTAACAGAATGGACACCAAGGGGAACACAAAGAGGAAGAGGTAGACCGAGAAAGCGATGGGAAGATATATTCAGAGAGAGAGGAGGTCCAGACTGGAGAAGGAAAGCACGAGATAGAGACGAATGGAGGAAGCTGGGGGAGGCCTACGCCAAAGAGGCGACATCCACAAAAGATTAGTTGCCTATTTTAGAGATAATATTTAAAATTAATAAATAATTAAATGAAAATTATATATATAGATAAATATATGAAATTAAACAAATGAAATAAATACTGATTAGAATACAATTGTAATGTTGTGAGCATGTTTTTGTGGTTGAATAAAGGCTATTTTTATTTTTTATTATTTTATTTATTTTATACTTGAGAACGGCTATATCTAGCTCAAAATAGGATTTAAATGATAGAAAAACTTTGCAAAATCGAGGAAATAGCAGATGGCAGTTATTATGATCAAAATTCAAATTTATTTACTGTTATTAAAATAAATACATAAATTCTATCTTACCTTAAGGTCAACAGGTTTATTTTTATCGATGTAATCCTTCTGCACCCTGCGCACGAGTTCCGTTGAGTTTATGTTCATAAGTTCTGTGACTCCTTTCAAACGAAGACTTGTGAACATCGGTGACAGTTCGCTCCTCATTTGTATCCACATAGGACTCTGCAATTTTTAATTTCAATAAAGAAATTGACTACCGAACTATACAAAAAGTCTCGTTGAAAAACAGAAATAGCTTATGTTTTATATACTTTTTCTGTATCTATGTAGCTGCAGCTGCAGCTCGTGAGTTTTTTGAATAATTTAAATAAATAGCGGGAAATAAACTATGAATAATAAATTCTAAACAATGGTTTAGAATTTTTATATATATTTTTTAATTATGTATAAATTGTAAAACAAAAAAGATCAATAAAAAATTAAATTGTATAAAATCGAAAAGGTTTGTTTTGGAAGTTAGTAATTACATTATGTATAAAACTTGGTATGAAAAAGAAATTCAATGTAAACAAACACAAAAACGGATCCCTCAACACGATAACTTTGGCGCACTATCAACACTATCGCACTACAAAAATAACTCACTGTTGTCAAAACAACAGTCAGTCAGCGGTCAGCTGTGCGCTTGACCCGAAACCCTGGCTATCTACTACTTACTTAACACTAGTGTTATTTGTTTACATACTAAATGCATTGCTTACCTTAATAGAAAACAAGTTCAATGAACCCAGCGGATCATCTTTCATTCCGGAATAGCTGTATCTGTCTTGAAAACTGTCACTGTCTTTCACAAGGACTTTCTTTGCAAGATCCTTTGACATGATCATGAGGGCAGGCTTCCATGACATGAATATTCCAAGATAATCATAATTTTTATACTTTTTACTCAAATCGTAAAACACATCCCAGAAACTCCTTCTCATAATGAAGGAAAGGCTCCCGAAAATAAATTTCGGCTTATCGTATGGCACGCCTCGTTTCTTCCAGTATCCATAATTACTTCGCACGAATAAATAGAATATAGTCAAACAAGATATTATGAAGACAAGAACCAATTCGATGATAAACCCGAACATATCGACGACCGATTTGTCCGCGTCTCCACAACAATGTAATTAGGTCTACACTCGGTCAATGCAAGATAGCGATTGAATTCGAATCAGTGTACTCGTACTTTTAAATTATATTTGTAGATAAAAAAATTATCAGCTCATTACGTTTTTATGCGTGCGTTAAGGACTATCTATCTACACGTGTCTGTCTCAGAGACGGCAGTTTTTAAATTTGCAACCACCACTTGCAATAGTGCCTTAAAAAGCTACTTTTGCCCAATTTTATGACAAAATCAACTTTCTTGGCATAAAAAATGTAAAAAAGTCCCAAAATTATATAAGAAATATATATTTTCTATGTTATTATTTCTATTTATTGCAAGATTTCTTAGGAATTTATTGATGTCATTAAGAATTTTGCACACAGATCTGACGCGTGACTCCGGCCAGGTATCGAACTATCTATCGCGTTCTGTGTGCAAAAGATCCCAAATTGATGAGTAAGTGAAATAATAGCCGATGCCAATTGGACAGTCAATAGATATTACTTATAGAAAGACATTGTGTTAGTTCTATATTTTCTTTAAATACTTTTTATCATTTGTAACATTTAACATCTGTTGTCAAACTCCTTGCCCAAAAATTTTGATTTGATTGCGTTTCATAAAATAATTTCAAGTTTTATAAACCTGTTTATAATACTTATTATTTTTTATTACTTTATTGGTTACAGGGGAGTTCATGAATTATTTTTCATTGATAGTCTGTTTATTCTTCTTTTAGTAATTGTGTAAAAATTTGAATGGGTCGGGAGGTGTCAGACTGTTGCAGACGAAAATCAAATTGTTCTTCCTCTAGCTCCGTACCCGGAAATATCTGTGATAGTCAGATGGCTCTCTAAGGCGCGCACGAAACGCGACGTGCCTTACGTTCGGGTCTGGTTTTGGTAGGGCGGCAAACTATCCTTGCTCGCCGTCCGCAGACTAGTTCCTCCAATCCGCATCATGGCCTGTACTAAGGCCGGGCGCCAGTGATCGGGGCCATCGATCGTTTACCGGAGGACACGACGGTGCTCAGGCTCAGCCCAGTAATGCATAGCGTCACTGCAAGGTCCACCGTGGCCTCTGGGTGGTCTTCGCAAACGTGGAAGCCGAGCAATAACTCCTGCTGCATATGCGACAGGTACCTCCAAAACCTCCCGTATCTGGTAAGCAGCTTTACCGGCTCTCGGTTTCTGTAGCTCATCCCATTACGTACCTATCTGGTATGGGAGTGGGCTTTCCCTCCACACGAGCGACGCGTGCGCCTTCGCCTCCAAATCCCCAGGCCATCCTCCTAGGAGTTCCAACCCCTCCCGGGAGAGATATCCACGGATTATACGTATGGGTCGTATGGTGATATATGGCCGCTACCTCAAAATTTTGCGAGCACATCGGGCGCCGTAGAGGACTACTAATATTGTCATTTGGTACACAACTGTTTTAATTACATAAATTTGTGTTTGATAACTTAATTTTGGTAAGATTAATAATCAAAAGGTGAAGGTAAACATCGTGAGGAAACCTGGACTTAATTATAAATTTGAAATCGCCAACCCGCATTGAGCAAGCGTGGTGATTAATGCTCTAACCTTCTCCGTATGAGAAGAGGCCTTTTCTTAGCAGTGGGCACTTATAGGCTGATGATGATGATGAATAATCAAAATATGTATGAAGCATTTAAAAACGTTACTATTATTTTATTCTTGTAGGAATATGGCTCATGAAGATTTATGGTCAGCAGTTAAGGACCTCTTACGCACGGATCGGCCTATCTGTCAGAAGATAGAATAACTGAGGGGTTGTCTCCTTCTTCCCTCATCATGCTAGTTAAGAAGTGGACGGAGTGCGTCGGAGGACGATGTTTCTCTTGCCCTAGCCGTAAGCTAGCACGCAAGAAACGCTCCAGGCATTGGGAATCGCGACCGATCTCCCGTCCAACAATGTATGTTCGGGACATAGGGCACGTCGAATTCTAGGCGCACATCAAAAAGCCATCCACCAGAGATTGAGCTCAAATTACCGGGTCTGCAGGCAAATCAGAAAAGCCAAAATCTAGCATCTATTTGTGCTAAATAACAAATTTTCCAAAAGTAGGAAATCAATATTTTCAATTGCCAAGCAATTGTGTTTCTTCTAGTTCTGTGTCATTGTAAAATGTATGGCTGCATCTTTCTGTCAGTTATTAAAAACGAAAAGGGAGGATTATTAATATTATTAGCTTCCTAATCGTGCATTTTTGTATCTATGGATTTCAAAATTCCTATATCTTTGAATTCTGTCGTGGAATTAAAACTTTATTTGGGTGTTCATATTAATGTTAACTTCTATTATTTGTAGAGCAAATTTTAAAAGCCGCAGTGATTAAATCTATGTGGTGGGCTTATTCAAAAAACAAAGTCTACCTTTTTTGAATAATCAACGTCCAAGACGCGCCGTGGCATTAATGATCTTAATTAAATGGCGGGATAGGTATCTCCTGCTCCAATGAATCTTTTGTAATCGCCCTAAGAGATATATCTCACGCTTTTGTGTTTAAGGTCACGGTAATTGTTTGTTTGTTTGTAAAATACGTTGCCCCACCCTAGTATTTTTCCCTGAGTGCGTTTACAAACAATTTCACATACATATTACACCCAGACTCACGGAACAACAATTTCGGAATCACAAAATCTGATTGATTGTGATAAAATGTGGGACAGCCAAGCTTCGGCACGAATGGATCGGCTTTACTGGAGTGATACCACGGCCTCACAAAAGACCGGCGTGAAACAGTCACAGCGTTGTGTTTCTCCGTGTGAGCGAGATTACCTGAGGCCTAATCCTTTTCCAATCCTAAAATCTCCAAATCCCTAATTCCTAAAAAGTCGGCAATGCACTCGTAGCTCTTCCTTAGTTACGGGTGTTCTATGGCGGCGCTGAATGCTTACCATCAGGTAAGATGTCTGCTTGTTTGCCGACTTATTACATAAAAACACTTTCAATGCTACAAAGATTTATCGTTACCAGCCTATAAGTTCTTACTGCTGTGCAAAGGTCTCACAAGGAGACAGTTTTGCTCAACGCTCAACACGCTTGTTCAAGCCAGATAGGCTATTTCGCACCAGGCTATTTAGCGGCTTAGTCTTAAATACCTATAGTACATTAAAATTACTTATCAATTTTAATAAAGAGAATTGTATCATTCTCCTTGGCTAAGGTGAGATTGCAGTTGTTTTTACCTCAACATGTTTAAAATTAAGTAAACTTTATTTCATGTAAATTAAAAACACAAAAGTTGTAATTTTTATGCGATAGGCAGGTCAGCAACACCAAGGGAGTTCGTTATCGGTCCTTTGTGGGTTATTAGGGACTGGTGGGTTATGAGACTTGGGAATTTGCGGATCGGGGATGGGAAGGGGAAAGTATTGATAGGAATGAAACGCGAATACAACTAAACTATCCTAAACTGCAAAAAATATTATTTATGTGTCTGTTACTAGTAAATAAATGAGATTTTCCTCCTTTATTTTTTCTTTTATTTCTACAATTCTTCTTTATTCTTTAATTTTTTTTAAATTTACTTAGATTTAATCAAGAACTTTTTCTCGTATAGTCAAGTTTCTTAAAAATATATGGTAATAATATGGATTAACTGTTTTTTTCTGTGGGGGAAAAATCATCAAATATTTTCTCTCACCCAGGGTGGGGCGAGAAGGAGTGTTAGACTCTTACTGACTAAAATGACATCGTTCCTTCTTCTGCTCCAGGTTGAGGCCACGATATCTTATGCGCTTGCCCCGTAACCCGGTTTAACATCAGCCCTATAGGGCCTCGTCTTTGATGGTATATTGGCTCTTTGAGGCGCGCGTGGTACGTGCCGTACGCTCGCGTCTGGTTCTGATAGGGCGGCGGGCTACCCTTACTCGCCATCCGCAGACCTGCGAAACAGATATGACGTAACGTCAACATTACGCTATGACCAATAGGAAAAGGGCAGCGTTTGAAACAGCGCTGGACTAAGTAGATCCTCATGATAGTATCCAAACATTGACATCGTATCGACGCCATACTATTTAACAATAACTTTAGCAAACATACAAAACAAATTCTATTTTTAAATACATCAGGCATCATCTAACTAAACAAATAGAAACGTTTGTATCGTGAGTACACACGTACCTACCTATTTACTTACATACATGTATTATGCATTCAAAAGTTGAGAATCATTGTACAAATTATCACAACATAAATGATTTCACACCAATTAGCTAATTCTGTCGTAAAAAGTACATAGTAACAGTGTGATTTGGGAACATTAACGCGATGTATTTTTAGGTTTTGTGTTCCAATGAAGATGACTGAATGGTGGATTCTTTTTGTGAGAAAAGTCATTAAATGACTTCTCCCACCCAGGGTCGGGCGGGAAGGAGTGTCAGCCTCTTACTGACTAAACCCTCCCCCCGTTCCTCCTCCTGATCTAGATCGAGGCCGCAACGCAACGCGCCGTCTTCTAGGGTGACTGAATGGTGGCTCGAGCCTTGATTGTAGGAACAATTCCTTGTGTGATCCACTGTTGTTCCGGGTCTGGGTGAGTATGTCTGTGAAATTTAATTTGTAAACACATCCATAGTTCAAGAAAAAAATGTAATGTCCCGGGCCTCGTTCATAATGCCGTGTAGAAAGGAGTTATTTATTAGTAAAATATAGGTAAGTACTGGTACGTGATTCCACACAAAATTAAGTGATTTAAAAATCTAAGTTTAATCTCCAACCGGTTTCAAATTGAAATTTAGTTTAGCTGATAAAATTTGGTATTTTTCGATATAGATATGATTACATAAATTGTTATGATAACGATTGATATCTATAATGTATATCGATAACAATGATATGAATGTATAATTGAAATGTTTTTGGTTTTATCAAGACTAGATCAGCAGCATATATCTGATATTAAAAGATAACAATCATTGGTTTATTTTAATAATAAATCCAGGGCCGGCTCGCCTGCAGTCGCGCGTCTCCGGGGCGAGGATCCTCTGCCGCCAAATGTCTGCGTGGCGGAATCTGCTTCGGCGAGATCTCATGG